CAGAGACAGACACACACACACGCACACACACGCAGAGACAGACACACACACACGCACACACACACACACGCAGAGACAGACACAGACATACACACTCACACACACAGGCAGACACACACACACGCAGAGACATACACACTCACACACACAGACACTCTTATGCTGCCCAGCAAACACTGGAAATGACGCACTGACATCTCTAGCAATACGCATATGAATTGAGCCTCACAGACACAAAAATAAACCCAAAGAACATGATAATCGGACTAAAAAAAAAGGAAAAAGGGACACCCACACACCACCCAGGGGAGGGAAAAAAAGAAAATTGATTAAGCAAGTTTTTGCCTTCGGTCTGCATGCAACCCCCCCTCCCAATACATCCAAATAGGCAAGGTGTGCATCTTCAGCTTTTCACTTCCTGCACTCAAAATTAATTTGGCACCACAACCCAAAAAGCTTTCCACATTCAGAACCGCACTACAAAGATGCACTTGGCTTTCACACACCGGACTATAAAAACAGCCACGCCGGGGTAAAATCCTGTCGCAACTGAAGAAAAAACCCATTACACCAAGAAAAGGGCGACAGCATAAATGAGTCTGCCGCTGCCCTGAGTGCAGGATGAGTACAGACACGCTTTGCTCGGGTTTGTGTTAAGGCTACATGTACATGTACATGACAGGCATGTCTACAGCTGCATGTGTGTGCAGGACAGGAGGAGAGCGCATCAGGCTCCCGCAGAGGATGACAATGGGCGCCTGCATAAACTCAAATATCCACGGGTAAGCAGACTGACACCAGGCCACAGGGCAGGCGATGAGATACCAAGAGACAAAGGAACAGGAGACCGGCGCTGAAATGTAAAACTCAACACACTCAAACGTGGGAAGGTGTAGCGATGCTCCACTCCTCCTTGCAACCCTCAACGTTAGACCACATGGGATTTGAAGGAGGTCCAACCCTGCAGGTCCTTCAATCGGACCCTAGGTGCCACCTTCTCCACACAAAGGAGTCTCCTCTAAATACACCTTAAATCCAAAGCACTCTGAAACCCAATTCACTCATTCATATAACAAGACTTACAGAGGCACCACAGCAATGCGGTGGTCTCCCCAAAAAAGTCTCCCCAAGCCCAGAATTATCGATTCAAAAACCCATCACCAAGTTTCCTGAACCACCTCCCCCCCCCCCCGCCCTAGAAAGATGGTAGCTCCAGAGGTGCCCTGACCTTCGTCAGTGGGTGGAGTCCGTACCACTAGGTTTTGTTGCCCAAATGCGGGGGTAGGGGTAAACAAGGTTGCTGAGGAACCTGTGTGACATCCGGCCCGCTTGTGTGCTGTCCACCCCCCCACTTTCCCTCAGCCCCCCCCACCTTTGCCTCCTCCCCCTTGGCATAACTTTACAACAGCTCCTGTTATTTATAAGTGGACGTACTTTTCTCATCGCGTGACGTTGGTCGGGTTTATGTTTAGCTCCCGAGATGAAGGTGAGAGGCCGCCGCTTGGGTCTGCATGGGTGAACTCTTCCAAGTTAATGTCAAGGACTTTGGCTTGTCAAAAAAATAAAAGAAAAGCCCGGAAAAAGACACGAGAAGAAAAAAAAGAAAACAACACAAGCTGCTCTCCCACATTAAGTGAAGTACAACCCAGAAACAACCAGCTAAAAACCAGGGTCCTGTTTCTGTGACCTGATTGGCTGCAAAGCCCCTAAGGACTTTTCCACAAGGTGAGAGTTGTCCCACCTTGGATGATAGCCACTCCTTTGTGGGTCAGTGCCACGCGATAAATGGGCGTGTCTTACCATCCAGATCTGGGAAACTGTCCCCCGGGAAATGGGGCACGAGCTGACGGACAAGGCACCAGCGACTGTGGTGGCACATTTGTAGGACATCTGACGACTGTCGCCCTCAGCCCAGGATTAAACCCGCAACCCACATCTTCCCATCAGTTCTGTTCCAGCACCTACATGCCTGATTTTACCTGTTGGTTAACTGTAAAACCCTTCATTACCAGGCTTAGCCACCTAGGGAGTTGGCTAGGACTAACATGTAGACGGGTGAGCCACGCTGTGACTGAAATTCATCCTAATATTGTCATGCTCTCCAAGGATCTGAGGGTAGTTTAATTGACAAGCTTTGGACATGAGGAATTACAGTGGGTAGCACCTTGATTTCCAGAGTGCTAGACTTCAGCTACCAAACCATTTCACAAGCTCCCTGAAGGAGGATGAGCCAGAAGGTGAAGAACATTTGAGCCTAGAGACCATGCAAACTCGCCTCACCGAGGCCTGGATGAAGGTTCTGTAAACTGGAGACGACCCCGAAGACGCCTAGTACGGCTCCCACGACCAACGGGCTTAGCCGCTCTCCTGCGGCCGCATCCAGGACGTTCTCACGTCGACGCACGGAAGGACCTCCCCCTGACCGGGAGCTGATGAAACCACACAAGAGCTAACAGACGTGGTAGATGTCTACTGCAGAGACAAAGGAAAGAGGACAGGCCCCATAAATACTCGCAGTTATTTTTTATCTCGCCCTTGAGCCAGGGAGAAAATCTCTCAGCTTGCCGTTTTAAGGGACCATGCAAAAAAACAACAGATGATCCAGATCTAAATATACCTACTATAGCTTCAGGAGAAGGCTGCCATTGAAGCTGCCCAGTGAAAGAGAAGCAGGGGGAGACGCCAGTCCGAGAGCCAGCACTTTTAGGTGCCTAATCCTTATTAAAAAGATGCCTTTCAAAGGCTTTATTCCTTCCACGGCTATAAACACCTTCAAAAGGTGACAGATTATGCTGCCCGGGACTGCAGAATATCATACACTCTTAAAATAAAACCGTAACCCACACAAAACAGGAGCACATCGCGCTTAATGGGAAACTGGCTTCTTCCACACTAGACTAAACCTTCTGCACACATCTCTAGCCACATGTGGTGCCTCTGGATTAAAGGCAACTCGGGGAGCAGAAGAGAAGAAACAAAAAAACCTTTAGTTCTCACAATTACATGAAAACAGCATTTATATATGAAACATATGAACAAAGCTTTAAGATGAATTAAAGCTCACTTCAGGACAAGAATGCATACAGATACAAGGAAGGGGACAGGGAATGAGGGAGCGCAGAGAGAGAAAGGACTCAGAGAGCTATTTTCCTCAAACGAAATATGACCAATGACTCATAGCCTGTTCTGCCCCAACTGCGATTTAATGCCCCAACACAAATCGACTTCTCTTTGTCATATTTCATAAATAAATATCCAAGGCAGATGTCAATCACCTGGGGAGGGAAACGGATTGGAGCCGACCCTCCCCAGATACGAGGGGGAGGTGTGCGGCTCCGGAACCCGCGTCTACCGCATGGCATTCCCCCGCAACGGGCCCATCGCTGGGCGGGGGACCGTCCGTCACACCAACACGCGGAGGAGCCTGCTCAGCGTTGGAAGCGACTGAGCCTCATCGCTCAGAGAGCAGACACTGATCAGACCAGCCAGACACATTAGAAGAAAAACAGGA